GACCACACCTCTGATCTCTTTCACCATTGACGTTGGCGAAAAGACCACACCTCTGATCTCTTTCACCAGTGACGTTGGCGACAACCGCCCGCCCAGAGCGATAGTGTCCATCGCCTCTGAGCCATTCACGAATTACAAATGTAAGCTTCTAGACAGAACAGTCCAGCAAGATTGTTTTACGAAAGTACAAATTACTACCAGTTCACAATGCCATTGAGCTATTAGTTCTCACTGTACAAGATGATCTAAAGATTGAGCAGTACCTGATTAACAAATTTCCTCGTTTGAAAACATATTCCTCTTCTCATAACCACTTGTCGTTTAAACAGATCGCTGCAGCAATTCATGATTTTCCCAGCCAGTTGACATTCGCGGAACAACTCATCGCAAGTATAGCCGTATTTTTCCTGGAAGTAAAAATTTCAACTCATTATCACAACCATTGGTAAACACAGACTTATTCGCTGTAAAGGCGGAGGCGTATAAGGGGCGGGAGTTTGGCGCGGCGCCATCTCCTTTCCCATCAATCGCTGTGGCTTGTCGGCTTCAACAGTTGGAGGGGAACAGCCGCGCCAAACCACAGGATTATAATTTTAGGAAAACAGGCGGGATACTGTACTTCGGGAAACTGCGCGGGAAATCAAATGTGACGGGACGTGAACGAATATTATTGGGCGTACCGTAAATCGGTTTAGTTGCACAAGTTCGAGGTATTTCAACTGGTCGTGTAATAACCCTTGTAGCCAGGGGGCACCCAAGAGTAGACTGCTTGTGTGCGCTCAATTTTACGTGCAGCTTGGTACAGTCCCCCTATCGTCCTGAACTTACAATTTTTTCGCCAAACCCAGCTCTACGACACGCCTCCCCCACCCAGCAATGCAGCGAACTGTCGATGGGTTACCTGGATAAGGTTGAAGAACTGCTCCGTTGTATAACCGTCGGACCAAATCTTATAAAGCTGATTCAAATGACTCATGTAAGTTCGATTGAAGTAGGATAGGTCATCCATATTCTCCAAACCATTGCCACCAACGAAAAACCTGAAAATTCTAGTCACTTATTTTGAGGAGTTATTGAAGGCACACAATTGCATGCCTAAGGATTCTTGGCCTGAACAGGCACCAGGTAGGGATTGGCTGGCCTTACAGTGAAAAAGGAAGCGGAGGAATCGGGTCGATAAACACCATTTTTTAGAGTTGAGGAGTGGAGGGATAAGGATAAGAGGATACGAAAGGTGAATGAATTCTACATGCGAGAGCGGAAGATCGAACAGAGTTGTGAGAAGGACCACACAATCGAACAAGTAAGCTGGGCGTGGTAGGCATGACTTTAATGAGCGCGACCGAAGGAACCTGGTTAGACTAAAGTTATGAATTCATGACGTCCTTATCACGCACTTGCGTCTGGTGAGGTAGTGCACTGTGTGCATCGGAGTACCTGCTCATCATATATGCACAAGCGATTCTATTGATCAAGCACTTACGAAATGTGCTCTAAGCAACGCTTGAAGAGGAAAGAAAAAAGGGAGAAATTACTGAGCCAAGCCATCCGGTAGCAAAACATTCCTCCTGAACCCCTTCTGTGGCGCTGGTCAGCCCACCGTATTTTTAAAGGTGTATTTCACAATCCCTTGTGACTAGAGGGTCTGTGCGAGGTGGTGCGTACCGCGATGTAGAGCCCTGTACAAGTCTCGCAAAAATGTAAACTAGGGATGTTAACAGGCAAGGCCACACAAGTGACTCCGCCCACGGCGTTATCTGTCGTCTTGCTCGTTTTTATGCTCATAAACTGCTGCTGCCTGGTCTCTCCGCCCAATTGCTCGCTCGGTATCTTAGCCTTTTTTCCTTCACAACAAAATCAGCGAGCTCCCATTTTTTTTTGTTTCAACCCCGCTAGTCAACATAGTTACAGCGGTTAATAGCGAAATGTATCTTCAAGTCCATCCAGATGATATGATACTTGAGCATCAGCAGGAAAGAGGCAGAAATAAAGCCAGCAAGGAAAGTGCGGTGTACAATAGATAAATAAACAAAATAATCAAAGTTAGTTAAAAAGCTTTTTCGGGGCATAATTGAGAGCAGCGAAAATCAAATATTTTTAGACTAAAGGTGGTTCAGGACTGAGTGTTCTCAGAAGAGTGTCCTTTTCTATGACTTCGAAATAATTGCCATAATCTTATAAATTCCAACAGTGTTATTCTTACCGTACTAAATCTAGAGCAGTAGCATTATCGATATCTGGAAATGTAACCCGTATATCACCAAGAAGTCCAGTTGCATTGAATGCGTCCGGCACTTTTGGACAAATGGTGATCGCTGGCAACTCTAAGCTCTCCACCTAAAGCAGGGTAATAATTCGAGGAGAAAAATTATTTTGAAATCAGTGATTCAAGAAAAAAGCGGTTATATTTACTTCAGGATGTAGAAGGTGCAGCCCACGATAGTCCCTTCAACATACTCAGGTCGGCCGTTGTGCCTTACACTTATCTCGCCCCTCAACTTTGGCTCATTGAAGGAGGGGGACGCATCAGAGAGAAAGACACGGTGGCAGACCTAACTCCGCCCACACGACCAGCGTGGGCTGCGCCTTAACAGGAACGGAACAATATGCAAATACTGATTGAACATGTAAGGCTCAGAGTTATTGTGAAACCAGAGTGATCTTGAAATATTACGATAACCAAACTGCTTTTTCCTGGTAACATGATAAATATTTCGCGAACAAAATAATACAGCAGTAATTCTCGTACTAATCGTATTGTTGTTGACGTGGCCGTTGGTCCCTCAACGTATTCGAAGAATCACCAAAGTCGTAGTAAAAGAACCACATATTATGCATACAACCATCACTATCCACCAGAATACCTTCAGTGCAGTGGTTTCGCTAAGCAGCGCCTGAAGGTGAGTGGACTTTAATGAGTATCGATTCAGTGATGAATGATATTAACCTTGAAGGTAGTTTATGCAGTAATAAAGTGTCAATTATAGTAGTGTAATTTAGAAACTGTGTCTGAGCGCCTTACATTTTTCAGCGCAAGAACATGCCAGAAAGCAAAACCTGTCTGCTATGACTGATCCTTTTGAAGGCAGCTGGCACGATAACTTGGTACTCGGCCTATAATGCTAGCAGGACGTTATATAGTGGGGAAAATGGCGAAAAAAAACGAAGTGAAACGGAAAAAAACCCGAAGAATATCCTTTGCCTTAATGACTCAAAGAGTAATTTCGGACGAGTTTCCCGTGGGCATCCTTTCAATAACCGCTACGGTAGGTAGGGCTACACGTGTGTACTCACATATCCATGCAACATCCGCAGCCGCTTCATATCAATCCCTTCGCTTCATATTTACTTCGCAAATGAAGCAATACGAGCATCAGGTACGGTCGTCCATTTGTGGGCGGGCGGGCGCAGTGGGCGTTCGGGTCGGTACGTTGTAGTTCGATAGGCCTTATGAGGGCGGCTTCATTGGAAAAGGGCTGGCGAGTGGACCAGGTATATCGTCCCCTTTTTCCAATGAAGCCGCCCTCATAAGGAAAAGGAGGACTGATATACCTGGCAAGACCGAATTTCGCGAACAGGGTCTTGCCAGGTATATCAGTCCCACTCGTCTTACAACGTCTTACGTCTTGTTATGTTATCCGGTTTATCGTGCCCACTGCCTTTAACACCTTCGCGGCGGCGTGTACTCCCGGGAGTACACGAAAAAACTCCGCTTTCGGCGAATCGTGTACTCCCAGAGTACACGCGCCTCTTCTCTCGTTTTTTGAATTTTTTTCTTCTTTTCACTGGCAATTATGAACAAATCATAAAATAATATACAAGTAATACTAAGAACATTTCTCGTGTATTTTTTGGAAACCAGGTTAGGCAGTAGTGGTTTTTACAAGAGGAACTAAGAACTTTCACAAGAATCAAAGTCTACATCTTCTTTGTGCGGTACCAGTGAACATCAAAAGGGCAAGAAAGCTAGTTCATTTACCGAAACTTAGATAAAACTTGTAGAAGGGAAAAATGTAAAAGAATGGCGAAAAACGGCTTTCGTGAATTTTTAGGCGTTTATGGTTCCGTCGCGAGCGCGCATGAACGGGATGACTGCCTAAGTGTCGCCCGCCGCGAACGCGTCGCTCGACAAACGGGAGTTTTTGACGAAACGGTGCCGGCGCGAACGTGCTAAATGCGACACTCATCCATTTACCCACCGAACTCACTGCGTTGATGAATAGCCCTCTTATTTCATAATCAAAAAGTCTGGAAGGCACTATTCACCATTTATGACTCCTCTTTTCAAGATTAAACCCACAATTGAACCGAACTCTTTTCAAGATTAAACCCACAATTGAACCGAACTACTTGCTCGCGTTGGACTCAGTCCAAAATCCGCCCCAATGGATGTGCCGGTCCTCCGCCTGAAGGGAGAACGCCTGGCCTCCGTCTCCTGCTTTCCAGGTCAGTACTAGAGTCGGCGCCCGTAGCGGCCGCACCCAGCTGCTTATTTGAGACAAACAAATGTACTATCTGGGTCAAAAAATGCTCTAATGCTGGAGGATTTCTGACCAAAATCTGGCCTTAATTCTGGATAATAGGGCGATGAAAAGTAATCATTACCATTTAGAAACCAAGCGCCCCTTATTTACTTCAAGGGGTGTTTAGGTTCGGTCAAAGACACATTGAGCGCAGTTTTTGCCGCGACCGCTCCACGTAGAAAGCTTGGCTCAATTTTGAAAAAATATAGTATCTGGACATATCGGAGAGGTACATAGGTGAGTCGCAGGGATACATAGCAGGGCGCATCAAAGAGTACATGATTGCACATAGACAAAAAAAGAGTAGCTATTTGTTATGGATGGAAGCAGAATATGGAAGGAGTGGTTAGACCCAGGTCACAAGCCTCTAGCTTTCTTATTGGACACTTCCGAGTGGGAAGATAGTATTTATGCTGAGGACCTGCTTATTGCACACGAGGAGAGAGACTATTTGCCAGTAATCGAGGAAAGTGTCTTTGATTTGGCTTCAGGAACAAAAGGAAGAAAGAAAAATTGATCCTTTCAACAGTAGGGTCCACAGGTTATAGTATCTTCACGTAGTAATGTTTCACAGTGGAAACTGAAGACTGTGCTCAAAATTAGAAGGAAGGAGATTATTTTGAAAAGATTCCACACATTCCTCTTGTTGAAGTACTAGGCCACTTAAACTGTGATCTCCCAATAAGTGCTTTTGAACTCCCTACCTGACTCAATCCGTGGATCTCCCCAGTCCATGGTGGAGGATCATTCAAATGACAGCTGCACTGCTTTTGTGGCTCGGGAAAGTGCATATGAACCTGAAAAATGTACCGGGCATGACCTACTACAATCAATACATAAATTTCAATTTAATAAAATGATAGACTTACCCGAGCATTTTGTAAAAGAGACGAAACGGTTGGCATATTGTGACACAAGGATCAATGCCATATGCACATTGCTTCTGGTTTCGCCACTCAAAGTCTAATCGTCGATTCAAGTAGGTAACATGAGACTCGGCCACCCGGCTACCCGCAACTACCTTCCATTCCGTTCGTAGGAAGGGCAGTGTGTGTGGGCGTGTAAAGGACAGCCGAATGATGGCCGAAAAAGCTTGTAGCCTCTAAAGAAGTGTAACGGGATGAACGGAAACCTTGCGAAAACGTATTAGTATCAGAAGAACTACTGATATCAATGCTCACCTTTGAAAACCATTAATTTGCAATCACTACTATGATGACTTCCGTGAAGCGCACTGAAAGATCCAAGTCTGGACGTAATTTGGAACAAAAAAAATATTATCTACTATCATATATTATCATAATCATTAATTATTCTTGAATGTGAATGAAACAAAGTGCTCTGTGAAGTAAATTCTATTTATTAAGAGTGTTAAAGAAACTGTTTTTCAAGTTAATAGTATATTTTAGATTGATTGCTTAACTGGATCCCTTCCATTCCTTTGTACAGCGAAGCTTACTCCATCAGGAATGCATTGAATAGCAGTTGGAGCTCCTCTGAGATTTGTTTTATCAGATGCTAACGACTACTTTTAAGGAGCTCGTCTCCAAGGCTTGTTTACTAGGTCTTACTGGGCTTGATCTTTTATATGCTGTACGGGATACAGCCTTTAGATTTTTTTCTTTTTTAAAGAAAAAACGTTTTTTTTCTTACACTGGCATTATCGCCGTCACGAATGAGATCACAATTTCTCGTCTAGAGACATGTGTTGTTACTTTTTAGAGAAAGTCAAGAGCATTAAGAAATCTGGAGTATAGGGCGCACTTTCGCTTCGAACGCCGCGATGAGTAGAAATATTAGGTTGTCCGGAAAGTTCTCAGCGTTTTGTGCACCTATTTTTTGTACATTCACTGCTGATTAAAACTCATTCTGCCTTGCTTCTCAGTAGCACATCCTGTAGAGAATTTCTTGCGCTATCTGATGGTATAATTGCCGTTTCACCATTGCTTGATGAACCCCCTTTTTTCAAGATTTTTTCAAGCATGTGAAAAGAGCACTTCGGACGATTTTTTTCTTCGACTATAAATTGGGGCAATCCGCAATCGAAACAGCTCAACAAATTAACCAGGTGTGGGGGCCCAATAGTGCTAGAGAAAGCACTGTGCGGCAATGGCTCAACAAATTTCGTTCTGGAGATTTCAGCCTTGAAGATGAACCTCATAGCGGTCGACCTAAAGCAATATCTGACGAGGATTTTAGGGGGATTTGGAGGCTGACCCATCCCAAACAGTTCGAGAGATAGCAGAAGAGCTAGGCCTTGGCAAATCCACTGTTGCAGATGGTCTGGAACGCATTGGGAAGGTGAAAAACTCGACAATTGGGTGCCCCACAATCGGAGTGACCGGCAGGAATCGGCACGTCTCGAGGTTCCTTCTGCATTGCTTTTGCGCAGCAGAAACGACCTGTTTTTGGGCCGAATTGTCACCTGTGATGAAAAATGGGTCATGTATGATAACAGGAGACGTTCCGGACAGTGGTTGGATTTCGACGACCACCGAGGTAATTTTCAAAGCCGAACCCTCACGAAAAAAAGATTCTGGTCACGGTTTGGTGGTCATCGGCTGGTGTGATCCACTATAACTTTTTATCACCAGGCCAAACCATCACAGCAGAACCCTACTGTGAAGAAATCGACGAATTGTACCGAAAATTTTGTCAGATGCAGCCAACACTTATCAAAAGAAAGGGTCCGATTCCTTTGCATGACAACGCCCGCCCACACGTTTCACAAATCACTATCCATAAATTGAACGAATTGGGGGTTGAAGTTCTACCTCACCCACCATATTCTCCAGACCTTTCACCATATCACCTTTTCAAACATTTTCAGAACTTCCTTGCTGAAAAATACTTCATCAATTAGGACCAGGCAAAAAAGACCTTCGTAGATTTCGTGGATTCTCGACCACCCAGTTTTTTCTTTGATGGGATTTCTCGACTGCTGTCACATTGGCAAAAGTGTGCTGATTCGAATGGTGCCTATTTCGATTAAATCCGATGAGTATTAAAAAAGTTACGATCGTTTAAAGTGAAACACCCAAAACGCTGAGAACTTTCCAGGACAACCTAATAGTATTTTAAAAATTTCATATGTCAGGAAAACCGTTCAAATGGTTAATTACAAATTGTTACATAATTACAAATTATTACATAACTAATTACAAATTATCCTTAGTCCAAATGGGGTCGCTTCGAAGCCAATTAACAACTAAGTAGATCATTACAATCCCTTCGTCTGCTAAGAACTGACTAAGCGCCTTTCGGAGGGGAGCGGTATTTTGCACGTTCGGCTCCCTAAGATTTCAGCAAGCTCAGCTTGACAG